CGTAATTTATTCCGATAAAATATCGGGATATTACAACAACACAACATAAACAAAAGAAACAAAACACAAAAACTAAACTGAAGCCCTTCCCCCAGTAACTAAGCCCACGCGAACAACATCGAAGACACTAATCCACACGAGCGACCACCCAGATAGACAGAGACCCGATCCAAGCCGCAAAACTAGAAACTGCAGATAAATCGCCTAACTAGAAATGAGACAACCTCGCCCGGGTAGACAACCCGCAACTGGAGATCCAATACAAAACTCCACCTCCCAAATCCCGACGACCCGAGAATAAGGTACGAGCCCGAACCCGACCCTCCAAAGCCAGAGAAGAACGAGAAGAGGGAGGAGAGTGGAACCGACCTGATCTCAACCCCTACCGCCAACAAGGGAACGATTGGAGCCGCAGCCTTCTCTCACACACTGGTCGGACGTCCGCCACCGCATAGACGCTGGAAAAAATGACGAACCACGACCCACCTTGGCGACCGAGAAGAAGGAAAACCCAAGGGAAGTACTCGCCGCCTCACCCGAAGCAAAGAACGACGCCAAAATCCGATGGGCTTGTGAGAGTTAGCCGCACGGCTGAGCGAAGGACGCCACCGAGATGGCCCGGAGGTCTGCTGGGGAAAGGCACACGACGGTTGCGGCGGGTTTTGGTTTTGGAAGAGAAAAGGGTTTAGGTTTTGGAAGAGGAAAGGGGAAAAGTCGATTAAAGGGGGTTTTGTCAGGTGGCTTCAGTTGTTACTTAAGCTAATATATTGAGTTTGAATTGAGTAATGCTCGTTAATCGATTTTAAACTGTAAAGTGGTTTGCGAATAATTTAACTCTTATTGTTTAAAAAAATTTGGAAATTTTCTTCTACAAACAAAGATGCGACAGGCAGCACTCCTCCTATCCTGCTTTCTTGACAGTTTAGTAGCTTGTATTGAATTCTGTTTCATTACGTTTATAATATTCTATCGTTTCGAAATAAAAAAATAAAGGAAAGCAAAAAAAGTTGCAAATCTTTCACTATTTTTCTATTATTATTATTTTTTTTTTTTGGGCAAATCATTCAATTTAGCCGAACAAAAATTCGGAACTCGGGCTACATCCTGCAAACGATAGGTGGAACCGCGGATTTGGCCCGAACCTGTAACACAGCGGTGTGGTGAAATAAACAATCAAAGACCAATGTATAAATGACGCGTGTCAACTAAGCGCACTTGATCCACAAACTATTCTTCTTGTTACAGAGGTTAAATGACAGCTTATTGTCTTTATCATAAGTCCGATATTTGCATTCAAAGGTTTCTTGTTCTAGGCAACAACTAAATCAAAAGCCCTTCTCTTTTCATATACTTGGGTATAGGGGCGAAAAAAGAAAAAAAGTAAGTATATTATTATCTGCTTTGCAAGTTGCAGAGGACAAAATCTCCCCAGCTTTAGATTGACAATTTCCGGCAATTTCTGGCAAACAGGTGGTTGATTTCCGGCAATTTCTCTCCCAGTCGTCTGCTTTTGTTTGAATTTTGTGCTGCTTCAAGACTGTCTTTCCATTCGCATGCGGCCGAGCTCCGGGTCAGGCTTTATGGTGGCTGCCTGTTGACTGAGGTTAGGGTTTATGATTCAAGTTTGGTGCGATCCAGTTTATTTGTTCTTTACTTTTGACTAATGGGGTTATGTTGGCTATTTCCCCCTTGTTTACTGGTATTCGGTTGATTGATTTGGGGCTTATTTCTGTAATCGTAGAAATGTTCATGGATGATATTTGCTGTCTGTTTCGGTGTGATTTTGTGAATTTTTAACTGGGTTTTGGGTCTGAAGATATTTTGATGTTGCGATTGCAGATTAGCGAGTCCGTTGCTAGCAATGTAGGTTTGTTTTGCTGTTGCATGTAAAATGGACTTGAAAGTTTGTTCAGAAAGTTAAAGAGTTCATTCAAGATTATCGTGTTCCAGAAACAAACTATCTCCTTCATGACCCTTTTCATCATCATCACCGTCTTCTTTTTTTCTTTTTTTTCGCTTAAATGGCTTAATTTTTTTTTTTTTTATTACGAAATGGACTTTCATGGAAGAATATTGTATGGGGGACTCGTTCGAATGTCACTCTGGTTGCTTTCTTAGTGCTGATGCCGATCAGAGTCCTGTTTTGTGCTTGCATGTGTTTTTGGTTTTGTTATAACTTCAATTATTATCTTTAGAAACGATTGCAAAAACTACTCCTGAGGTTTGATCATTTAAAACAAAACCAAAACAGTAGTTAGCTTTCGAAATATTTAACATCACCCTTGTAGTTTATACTCTAACATTTCACTCCAATCACATTAGTTAACCTGGTATGATTTTGCTATCATCGTCCATTAATTTATAAGTTCCCACTTCCACCATTTTATGATACTGCAGATATCCTTAACATTTCCAAGCTGCTTGTCATACTCAACAATTTGAGGGGTAGCTATGTAAAATGCAAGATGAAACATGTGTTAGTAGTAATACTTTTCTAAGTTAAAATCAAGATTTCAGGTTTCCCTTAGCTTCGGTAATAGAAGATGCAAAAACTTAAGAAATACATAACTCTATGTGGTGTCTGTAGATCATTAAGTAATCTGTTTTTAATTTTCCTTAAAAATTAAATCAAACCCCAAGTGTAATCTTCATAATGACCTCTATCCAAAATCATATTCATTCTCCTTCATTTTTCACATGAATTTCCTCATTCACGTCACTTTTCCCATCACCAGGCTAAGAATCAAAAAAGAAAAAGAAGAAAGAAAATGATTCTCACTAAACAATACCGCTGTCTTCACTCCCCGAGCTGCATGTGCACGAAAGGCCACCTAACAGAGGAGGTCATATTCCTAGTATTCAACCACTTGAACTGGAACCCCAAGGTGATCGCGGCCCTCTCGTGCACTTGCAAGTGGTTTGATGACCTTGCGAAGCGTGCCCTCTGGAAGGAGTTTTGCAAGACGCGAGCACCCAAGATGACCATCGACCTCCAGTCTAGTGGGTCCCACAGTGTGGACGGCAACTGGCGGGCCCTCGGCAAGCTCCTCATCTTCTGCTCTGGCTGCAAGAAGGACGGCCTCTTCAGCACCTCCCAGATCCCAGGCCACTTTGTGTACCGCACCCGTTTTTCCCGAACTTCTGGAAAGAGCTTTCTGCTTCCTCAGTGCAGGTCGGATATTTTGTATGTGTCGGATCCATGCGAGCACCTGGACCAGGGAGACGAGGGGGACGTGGGGTTTTTCCGGGGGATATTTAAGTCGTTTGCAAATTCGAAGGTGAGGAAGATGCTGATAAAGAGGTGTGCGCCCCTGCACCCTACGGAGGTTTGCCCATATTGCAAGGCGAAGCTGTGGAATATGCTAGAAGCGAAAATGATTCCCTCGAGTGCCAGCTGCCGGCTAGGGGCGTACGAGGACTGCATTGAGTATTACGTGTGCCTGAATGGGCACATGCTTGGGATTTGTACGCTTTTGCCCCTGTCAGATACTGATGAGGGATCGGAGGAGTGAGTGGTGATTTTGGGTTTTGAGAGGTATTATTTCAATTCATTTATTTTTGTTTGTGCGCTGTTTTAGAGGCTTTATTGTGTTTTTACATGATTATGGGATGTCAAAGCCTTTGGTTTTTACTCATGAATTTATGGATTATGTTGATTAGATATTAGCTCCATCCTAATCCTATTTGATTTAGATGAGTGGAATTGGGAAAAGCAAGCTACCGGAAGGTCGGCATTTTCTATACATAGTTTAATTCACTGCACTGTGGGGGCACACCTTTGTCGGGCAGAATATTTACCCATGAAAATTCAGAGGGTTTAAAACTAAGCCCAATACACTTAGCCTCTTTAGCTAAATGAATATAGCTTTCTACAATTGGTATCAGACTAATTTTCTTTTGATACAAGAAATAAATTTGTGTTATTGAATTTACTTAGGCTGTGTTTAGGTAGATCTTGAGTTTTGTGAATTCATGATGTATGAGACAATTTTTGAGTCGATACCTCGAATTATTTTATATAGGATCTGCGTACACACAAAATTGAAAGGTATAGAAACACTGTATTTGTTGATTTTGATGTGTCATGGGGTGTACAAAATGTACCCATTTCACTTATGGAGAGGAACAAGTACAACACAATTCTGAGGGGAACTTTTCTGGGTTTTTCTTAAATCATCCCTGTATGTCGAGTTTAACCTTACAATGTTCACATCTTGGTTTTTTCTGTTCATTCAACCGGACTTGTTTTAATTTGACAGATACTGCAGTTACAGGCAGTAGAAAACTTTAGGGCACTGATGTTTCGCAAATTCTGGTGCATGCAACATAGAGGTTGCCTAATGGACATAACCAGCAGTGGGGTGAAACTTTGATCTTGCCTTAAAGATGGAATTCCATCTACTCCAATGTATGGTACCTACCATCGAAACTTATCTCCCATATTAGCTATTGCCAGCTGAGTTCTATTGACGACCGTTATTTACCGTGGAACATCATCCGTTTACAATGTTGTTTTAATCTAATCATTAATCTTTCTTGTCTATGCGATTTTTTTTTTTTAAGAAAGAAAATTTGTAATATGAGAATGCACAGTAGCTCGACTCTTATGACCCTGTGAGTCAACATCTTCATCATGACTGCGGAATTGTGAATCGAATGTTTTTATCGTAGTTCTGGATTTCATGTTTTTGTTGTTTCATTATCTCTGGAGTGTTTTCTATTTGTAGTAGTTTAATTTTCATATGAGAATATTGTGGATTTCTTTCTTACTATATCGGTATCATTTTTCAGTCTAACTGAGATGACAGTATCTTGATCAATGGACTTTTACAAAATTTGGGAGCACTTTTTCAAAAATCCATTTATTAAATGGACTTTTATAGAATGAACTTTCTCCAAAAGTCTCAATTCTTTACTTATATAGAAATGACTTTGGAGAATTAACTTATCTACAATTCCATTTATAATGTATCAACAAACATGAATTATTTATACAAATGGACTTTTGGATTCAAAAGTTCATTTGAAAGGTGTTTCCAAACAAGCTTTTAACAATTTTTTTTAGGGAATTTTGTTAACCTCTCAAACTATGCAAACTATGCAATTTTTTAGGGTTTGCCATATAATTTTTTTTTTTTTTAAATTTGCTTACCAATATAATTGGGACTGACAAATCCTCTATTAAAAATCCTAATATGGCACAATGGAGTTTTTTAACTCAATTAACGATAGATTTTAAACTAATTTTTAAAATTGATTTAGGGCTTTTAAAGTTCATGGCGAGACGAACAAAACGAGGTATGTTTTGTCGAATTCTGAAAATTGATAACTCGATAATCAATTCACGAAGATAGTAGGAACACGTATGTATAAAAAAAAAATTAATTCAAATTTTCTAATAATTGTTATAAATACATTAATATGGACATTACTAATATATAATTGGGTCTGGAGTCCATTAGATAGAAAAATTAGGTTGTAGGACTTCTGTCTTGTAAACCCTATAAAAGGGTGATTATACCGATGAATAAGATGACAGACTTTTCTGCTTCTCTTTTCTTGTTCTTTACTGCACATCTTTTATGCTTGTTTGATTGATGAATGCTTGGTGAATATTGAGGACTCCAATTTACAACAAGTTATCAGCACGCTCTAGTTCGTTATTGGTGTTTGCCCTAGAAAAAAATCATGTTTTCCTACAAGGTATTTTCGAGATCCATTTATTTTCTTAATTCGTGTTATATTCGATGTTGTACGAATGAATTACGGAAATTGCCCGCATGCTCTGTTATTTTTATTGCTTATTTTATGATTATTCAATGATCGTATGATAACTTTGAATTTGTTGGCTGATCGCATCGAATGCGTAATTTGTTTGACAACCTTATGTTATTTAATCGGCCCCCGATAGCTTTTAAATTTGATTGTTTGTTGGGCAAAAGAAGTTGGGACTTATTTTCTGAATAAATGTCATTTGTTCTCACGCAACCCAAAGCCTTAAGAATTATTTGTTTTGAATTGAAATTTTGAAGTTTACATATTATGCTGGACCCACGCAATGGTCATATTATTGCAATAGAAGTATATCCATAAAGTTCATGTTGTTGTGATATGATTCCCAGTTATGACAAAGTGCAATTTAAATTATTTTGATTTCCAGATATTTTTTTTTCGCATATTGACATCAAATTGCTAAAATTCATTTTCGTTTAGCCAGCTCATGAGTATCTCTCCCGCACGTAATAATTTTTATGTTATTAATTTCAAACATTGATGGCATATATGTGGTTGATTATAATGTTTCTTAATGTGTTCTTAATTAATAATTTATCTATTGTTTTGTACATATCATGCCACTTATTTTTTTTATTTTGTTGCGAGAACATCACAATCATTGTGCTAAATGTAATTAACTTTACATCGACACGCTATATATCACTCATGAAATCAGATTTTTTTGTGATAATATATATATATATATATATATATATATATGTAATTTTGTCAAGTAAAAAGTAATTGTATAGATGAAATTCTTATATTTAATATAAAAATTAAATAATGAAGGTTATTACCAAAAAAGTCATAGTAAAGTGTGATTGTCTTTATAGAAAATATTTATTTGTGTCTTCATTGAGAAATATGATTTAACAGTTGTCCACGTTGATACCAAAAAATAGAAATTAGAAATGTCATCTCATTCTTACAAAATTATAGATGAAATAAGTTTGATTAAATGTGAAATAAAAAGAGGTGGATAGTTCGTTTATTTGTCTCTCTTTTATTTACTTCTCGTGCATTATTTGGTTTGCATCAATTGATACCAACCATTACCCTTAATTTTGTTTATTTCATATTAAATTTTGTCAAGTAAATTGTTGAATAATACACCAATTATTCTATATGGAATGGATATATTAATGCAATAAAAAAAAAAAAAAAACAAACTACAAACGGTATTCATAATTTTAATACAATCAAAGAAGTTACACCAACTATTTACATCTATATAAAAGGAATAGCCAATTTCTATATTGCTATATTTTTTGTAAGGATTTTTTTAACCCAAAGTTTTTTGGAGAAAATTATAAAGTTTTTTTTTTCCTTTTTTTTTTAATTTGATACACAATTTAATGTTTTCATGATTTTACAATCCATTATTATCATTATAATTGAAAATTTTATGACTAATTAATTTGGTCAAATAAGTGTCTTATATGGATGATTAAATTATAAGTATGACATTATACAAAAATTAAGATACATCTTGATATAGAAGCAAAAATTTTGTAACATAATAGACATGTGCTATAGATCTATGCCATTTAAATTGTTTTAGTATTTCTAATGTTTCAAGTTTATGATTTATATTTTATGTACTTAATTTGGTCAATATACATAAAAAAATTCATAGTTGTATAAATTATTATTCAAACACAGGTCATTAAAATTAAAAAAAGTAAATTTATTTACATAATAATTTATGTATATTTTTAAATGTATTTATATAATAAGAAAAATTATTATTTTCTCCAAATAAATCTTAAATATCTAACATGGTGACATCTGATTGGACCCTCATAGTGGGTAACACATTGAATGCATAAATAAAAAATGTATGTGAAGTTAGTTTCTTAAATAATTATTTAACATGAAATACCACATGTTAGTGCATTTTTCCCGCATTAGTTTGAAAAATATTATGTTGAAAATAAATACAAATATGATAAAAGAGATAAACAACTATATCAAACATCAATTACATGGCATTAAAATAAAAAATGACATTAAAATGAAGAAATAATGTCGCTCATAAATCATAGGCGTATTATTTGCTCAAAGTAAATATATATATATAATTTTATAAATTAAAGTTTAGAATATTAATAACTTCTAAAATAATATAAGTTAAATATCAAATTGTTATTATGAAAATATAATAAAATGTTGTTTAATAATACATCATTTTAAATATGGTACTACAATTTGTATGTTGTATAGGTGGATAAGTTAGTATTAGTTACGAGTTTCACAAACATTTAGCACTTTAGTCGTTTATTTTCCATCCACATGTGTTTCGATTGTCACAAAAGCAAGTGAACTATTTTTGTAAGAAATTTTTCCACCCAAAATTTATTGGAGAAAATTAGAAAAATTAACAAAATGTTAAACCATTAAAAATTACGAAGTAATTAATAACTCATAAAAAAATATAAGTAAAAAACAAATTGTTATTATAAAAATATAATAAAATATGATTTAATAATATATTATTTTAGTTATTAAAAAAATGTTATATAAAAATTACGAAGTAATTAATAACTTAT